AGGTATGAGCGTTATAGACTCTCACGGCTGAGTGGGAGTGTAGATAGCCAGCCTGGAGTCTAATCCAAGGTGGCAAGAGATTTATGTGGACGCTGAAATGAGCGGACACAAGACTTGTATATATTTACATGGAGAAAATGAAAAGGCAGTAGGTTAGGGGAAACAGAGTGTGTCGTTTAACTAGAAAACTATCATCTGCATCCCTACACGGTCCTCGGGCTTGGAGGAACACCCCATAAACACGAAGTGGAGTTTAACGTTGTCTGCGGTTACAAACTTATCAATATCTGGAAACCAGGTGCGCAGATACTCCAAGCTCATAAACTGCCAACAGGACTTGATGTGTTCGTCGATATTGACAGTGTACTGGAGAGCCACAATGTGAAGACGGGAGTTCTTGTCCACCCAGGCCACCACCGCATCAACGAAAGGAAAACGCACGTCCGACGGCTTGTAGAAATAACCATTGTTGGGGGTGATCTTCAACATGGTCTCAACATGGCGGGAAGGAACAATGTTGAAGTCCACCACGGTGACGTTCCTGGAGATTTTCAGTTCGCCGAGCACGAGCCCCTTCTTTTGAATTACATTTGCCAGGACGTCCTCGCACAGCCAGCCAAATTCTGACCAATTGATCTCCTCATTTTCACATTCCAAAAGCCGTCTCACATACTCCATCCAAGCTCCATCGCGGTAAGGCTTAATTTTCTCTTCCTTGGTAGGTACCACCCTCGTGTAGATTCTCTTGATAAAGGTGGAGCAGTAGACTCCATTCTCAGGGTCCAGCACGTAAGATGAGTCGAGACAGGCCATGGCAGCATCACGGCATTCGCCTTCAAGCCGAATAGCTTCCGCGATCCTGCGAACCCCTGAAATCTCACGGTGCTGGGCAAACCTCAGGAGAACTTGGTCCCAGTTGTCATCCTCACTAAGCAGCTCCACCATCTGTTCTTCACTTGGTTCCAAGCATGCTGTTAAGACGATAGTTTCCCGGAGGCTGGCACCACTTATGATCTCCGAGTCGAGCAATTCCAACGTGAATTGCACACAGCACTCACATAGTACCTCCAGAAAAAGGGGTACGAGCCCAGTGTGGTATTCGATGCTTTCCAACCGATACTGAAGCTTTCCAAGGACACACCTGGATGCGTATGTCAAATACTCAACCTGTCATAGGATATGTGACGACGTTATCAGTTAGATGGACAAGAATATTAGAGTATCAAAAGCTTACCCAGCTGAAGCCCCTCTGTGCATAAGCAAACGACTCAAGATGTGGAACAATAGAGAATAGAGGGTCATGCACAATGTGAGATATGCAACACCATACCCTCTTCCCAGTACACAACAGGCGGTACAAATTGTGAGAAATGTTGCTCTTCGGCCCGGAGTCACAGGCCGGTTCCCGAAAAATGTCCAAAGGCTCCAGTTTCTCGCCACCATCCACGAAGAAGTAGAACTCCTCCTGCTGCTTACGAGCCTCCACGAAATCAATAACATTTTCCACAGAAGAAAGCTTTCGAATGGCAGATATCACGGTGTCTGGGTCCTCCGCCAGAAATGAAAACAACAAACCGTTTCTCATGGCTTCAGTTTCACTGATCAAGAGCATCTCGCCCACAAGGTAAACTAGCCGCTTCTTCACGTTCTTTGTTGTCGGCATTAATCCAGCCGCCACCTTGTTGTCGATGCCAACTTTGCCGAAGAGTATGCAGAAGAGCGCTCTGAAGTCGGACGACTTCCCAACGCCCTTGGGCCCATAGATCACGTTGTCATGATCAGAGCTGTACCACCGGAGGAGGAGCTCTCGTACAGTCCTTCTACCCACGAAGTCGAGAATTACTTCCGGCCTCGTACACGAATACACACGACCTACACCGGGATACGGCAGGGCTGTCGATTTGCTCGGATCCATGAGATCAACTTCATTAAGCTTCAAAAGATCCTCAATCGCAGCTTTGGCACCTTCAAGTGAAATGTTCCCGGGCGATCTCTTACGCTTCGAGCCCACTCGAGATCCGATGAATCCCCGCAGCTCGTCATAGCGCCTGAACCGCTCCATGGGAGGAAAAGCAAAAGTGGTCCTTGTTCTTTTGGAGCTTGCAAATGTTTTATGTCCCTAGTTGAAACATATATCTGAGGCCATCAGCTTCACGCACAAGAATTTCTAAGAGCTCCTAAGAAGAAGAAGAAGAAATGCAATCTGGAAAGAACAATCGATCGATTGGATCAATAGAGAAAAAGGAATTGCTTGTACTGGAGAGCCAGCATCTTGTGAATCTTTCAGAGATGGATGATTAGGGAGGAAGGAGGCAGCACAAGGAGCAACAATCATATCTGCTGCACAGGAACAACACAAGAAAAAGTATTTTCCATTGCAACGCCAATAATATCATTTGCTGATTTAGGGTTGGGTGGCGATGCAAATCTCCCGCGATGGAAGTGGTCAATTTCAATAGAGAAGCTTTTACTATAGAATAATTGCATTGCATGGACACATGGCAATTGCTAGCATGCATACTTTAGATACATATAAGGCCTCAAGCTTCCAGCCATTAATCACCAATTCATTAAGCTCAGCTCAATCAAGCTCACCATGAAGGCTGTTTTGGTGTTTCTTGTGCTTGTGATTTCCACTTTCCAGATTGCATTGTCTTCTTCTCCTTCTTCAAGTAGTTCCAGGGAGCTCTTGGATGAAGCTGAGATTTATGGGGTTTCAGTAGCAGTAGAGCCAGCATCCAATTCTTCACTTGTGAATCTTTCAGCAGATATGGATGATTGGGAGGGAGGCAAGCACAGAGGGGACAGCAACAACAATAACAACATCAACATTAACATCAATATCTTCTGCAAGAAGAACAAGTCTATGTATGGTGATCAGGATGGCAAGAAATCCATGGATCATGATCACAAGGAGGAAGAAGAGCAAAAGTCTATGGATGGTGATCACAAGGATGAGGAGGAGGACAAGAAGTCCATGGATCAAGAACACAAGGAGGAAGACAAGAAAAGGTATTTTCCATAGGCAATAGTATCTCCTGTAGAAGTATCAAAGCACCAATAAAACCATGAAGCATACAAATCTTTTTTCACGTAAGTTTTGCCATGACCTTATCAAGGTGGCGAAGCACCTGGTTACAATCCACGGTGGCGTCGTCCATGACAATGGAGTGGTAATCCAAACCCATCCACTGCGAGATAAACATGTAGTGTGGCCGCATAAACAACGGGCTCAGCATCTCCACCACCGACGTCCCCGGCCTCGCAAACACGATGTGCGTAAGCCCAGCTCCATGAACTCCCACGATTATCGACGAAGACTTCACCGCTTTGATCTGCTCGGCCAGTCTCATGTGAGCAAACAATCCGTTGAAGATCGTGATCTTCCTGCGAGCCCCAGCAGCGCTGTTTCTTTTGCTGGCCCAATCCACCATCGCCTTGTACAGCTCCTCTTCGTTTGCCAGCCTCGACTCCGGCTTTCCGGAGTGCCGGGGATGAGCCAAGTAGTCTTCTCGCCGGATGAGTAGGACCTGTATCACGTCGGAGCGATTCTCTTCGGTGGAATTGCTGCCCGACAATGCTGCTGAGAAGATCTCGCCGAACTCTCGGAGCCTTGCTGTTTTGGAGGCGTCCACTTCCGCTGGCGAGCTGCCGGTGCAGGCCAGGCCGGTCCCCAGGAACTTGAAGAGAGCTGTCTCGTAACCCAGAGGCACGAATACGGCGCGGTCGAAGCAAACGTTGTCGCCAAAGTGCTTGGCGTATTTGACACCGCTGAAGAACGCTTCCCAGCCATCGTCCATGGGAGACTGGAAGAAAAGAGAGAAAAATAACTGTAGCTGCGAAAGAAAGAGTTGATCGCGTTTTACCTTGCAGTGCCCATCCAAGAACACCACCATCGGCCGCTCCTCCAGCCCAACGACGCGAGAGCTCGCGTAGGAGCTATACCAATCGGTGACGGTGTGGAAGAGATTGGCGTACTCGAACCTCGTGACGAACAGCGTTGGCTTGGTGATCACCTACAATGGAAAAACGAAGAACAAAAGCCCAACAAGTTGACGAGAGAAGAACAAATGGAAAAACTTACCTCGGAGCAGCGCGAGCTCTTGGAAGATACCGTCCGGATGGATTCCACCAAGGAGCGCAAGCCATGGCGATTGCCACCGTGACCTCTCGCGATCACCTCGTCCAGCCGACCACCCTCCACCAAAGCCTTTCCATCCGCCTCGTCCGGGACTTGGAGCTCGAAAGCTCCCACCTGGAACACTGGCAGCTCCTCCTGCTCCTCCCTTCCAATCACCGCATCGATCTCCTCCCCTCCAGCGGTCATGGAGATTCTCGATGCATGCATCACCATCTTGGTCCCCTCGCAGATCGAGGTCTTGAGAGCGTCGCTATGGTAGCAGCGAAACGAGCCTCCATAGCTCCCGGAATGATCCACCACTCTCCGCAAATCCGAGAATCCATTCCCGAAAAAGGCCTCGCAGGAATGCGAGGAGCCTCGATCAGCCGGCAGCCATGGAGAGTAGGATTCCACCAGCGACCATTTCTTGACGACGTAGGAATGGACTCTGGCCTTGGGCGGCAGCTGCTCATCCCTGTCTGGAGTTTGCTGCTCGATCGATCGGTGGAGGAAGAAATACCCGAGCTGGATGAGATTGAGCACGATCACAAGAGCGACGATCCTGCGCACGCGGTCCTTCCTCATCGATCACTGTCGACGCCGCCGCATTTGGCGCATTTGTAAACCCTAGAGTCGCGGCGAGAGACTTACCTGCGATCGCGGAGGAGCTTCTCCGCTGTGATCGAGCGATCGCGCGCGAGAGAGGAGGGGCAGCATTGCGCTAGAGCGCCAACACGCTCCTCCCGGTCACCTCACACCTACGCAAAACCTTCCACACGTGGCAGCATTGGAGCAGGCTAGATGGACGGCATCGACGCGCGGACAATGAGCTCAACTCTGGGCCGTTGGATGTACGATCGGGCGCTCGCTTTATCCGAAGTTGAAAACAGTGAAAAATAAATGGAATATTGAATTTGAATAGCTACAAATCCCTGCAAAAGAATCTCAGCTTGCATCCTGGAAGATGACAAAACCAAACGACGAACGAGCCAGAAAAAAGAGAGAAAACGTTAGGCCAAGAGAGAACGAAATCATCTAAAGCGCTGCGTTTTCGATCGATCGATCGAGTTTTATTTTACGTACCTCCAGCTTTGCCTTCGCTTCTGGATCGAACGTCTTGCACAAAATTTCGTAGTTCTTTTCAGCTCCAATCTGGACAGAGCAGCACGTTATATGTGAAAGTTTGATGATCTTTAAGACTTTTAGTACTACCAGTGGATCGACTCTTGAAGGCGAGATGCTGGAGACCACGTACCTGGGGATGGGAAAAATATTAAAAGCTCGAGAGAGAGGAACCAGAGACTTCTTTGCTTACTTCAGCTTGGAATAGAAGGCCATGGCCGCAAGATTTCTCTTCTGAACGGTTAAAAGCACTGCCTTCATGTTGTTCTGCATTGAAAGTTGTAAAAAGGACGAGAAAAATTCTATGAGAAACACCAGGACCATAAAAAAAAAAAGAGAGAGAACTGAACCTTTCGCGCAACCAGCTCGAGGAGTTGCATGAGAAATTTTCCAAGGCCTTTCTTCTGGACGCACTTCTCGAGCTGCAGCTCGTACACATACAGCACCGGGATTTCCTCGTCGATGAGGAACCGAAACTGCACAAAAGACACCACGGGGTCACCGCCGTCTCTCCAGAGTCCATCGTGCTTTTCAGGATCCTCCACCAGTTGCCGAACAATTATGTATCGAGCCTCGGAAGCAACCATTTCCCGCTTCTTCACTTTCTCCTCCGCTGGCCACTCTGAGCCGTAAGGTCCTTCCATGTTTTCCTGGGAAGATCGCAAGCATAAGACAAAGAAAAGAAAAGGCCCGGAGCTTTGAACAATCACGAAACTCTACCTTGAGGAGGGCTTGGATATAACGTTTCAGCGGAGCAGGCAAAGTCTCTCCAGACTGCGGCTGCATGATCAGGTTCAATCCTGGAGGAGCAAAACCAGTAAAGTGTCACAGCCAAGATTTATCTTCCAAGGAAAGAAAAGAAGAAAAACGCGCACCGCTCCTCTGGTAAGTCAAGAAGGCCGGGAACTCGCTCAAGTGATCCTCCTTGGCGTAAGCCATCCGGATAACTTCATCAATCGCCTTCTTCCGATCAAGTTCCTACAACACCAGCACGAAACGGTCAATTTGATGCGCGGTGTGTTCTTCGGAAGCACACAAGCGAAGCGACTTAATACCTCTTTCCTCTTCAATTTCTTCTCTTTACTACTGAGCTTCTTGCTGCTGCTTCGATCCATAGAAGCTGCAAGCGCCAGACGATCCGATCCCGCATCCTAGAAAAAAAAAACCAGAATTTACCCGAGCCCAGTATATATATGACGAAATATTCCCCGCAAAAATTCACACGTGCAGTAATAATCTCTAACCTTTAAGCCTGCCTACACAGCCACACACTCCCCACACACACAAGACACTCACACGCACAAGCATCGTTTTCACCAGGGCCAAAACGAACAAAGGTCATCCTCGGGAAGACGCAACCAAGCGAAAAAAAAAAATCAAGAGACCAAAAATCCAATACATCCATCCACGATCCATTCATCCAACGCAAGAAGAAATCAAATATACCACAAGCAGCATTCATCCAAGACAAAAAAGATCCCAAAACAATCCATCCCGGCAAGAAAGACCGAAATCCGGGCGCCAGGAACAGGAAATTCACGGATCGTGCAACCGGTCACATCCGATTCCCGCAAATATCCAGCTCCCCGCGCGGAATCCGATCGAAATATCAAAAGCAAGAGAGCGACACATACCTAGTGGAGCAAGAACAAAGGAGGAGCGGCAATCGGCCCCTTTCACATCCGATGCGCCAGATGACGCCGGAATTCCCTGGAGCTGATCAATGCCTGGATTCGACGCGGCAGCGACCGGCAATCTGAGCACGGATTCCAGATGCCGAGGTCCGCCCCGGGGCATCGCCCTGGCTGCCGGCTCCTCGATCGCGTCCCCCGGCGCCAAAGATCCACAAAGAAAAAGAATTATGGGGGAGACCAAGCACAAAATGGGGGCTCCAAGCACGAAGAGTGGGTTCCGTACACCGCGCCCGCGGTGGTACGGCACCACCTCCCCGTACCGCACGGCACAGACGTGGACGGCTTGCGGCGGCCACATTTAAACCCCTGTGGCAGGTTTGGTAAATTGCCTAAACGAGAGAACCTATGACTGCAGTCTACACAACGTCCACGACGTCCTGTCCAAAGCACACATACAACTCAAACGCAAGGAATATCCACCCCTGGCCAAGTGGCCGCCACGTAGGCATCAGCCTTGCCCGCCACATGGCAACCCGCTTTTCTGACACGTGTCACCACACTTGGCACGTCTAGATTCTCTAAATCTCCCCAGTGGATTGTAGAGTGCGTCACTGTGGAGGACTCGCTTCTTCTCGCGTTATCTCTAAACTTCTGTGAGATGAAGTTTGCGATTGATCCTGTGAGACAATCTCGCGTTCTTTCGAGGATCTCTGATCCTTTTCATGGTTTCTTGTGGTGTCACCTATTACTCGGGAAGTCTTCGCTTTCGGCTACTTTGAATGCCTGGGGCTGCTTTCCATCGCAATAAAGATTCCACATCTTGAAGTAGCACCTCTCCGCGTTAACCACCTGAAAAGGATGAGAGTTTCGCTAGATTTGTCAGTCACAGCCGCGGGGGACGTACGAAGAGCAAAGCGATTGAAAGTTACTCACCCAGCGCTCAGTGTCGAACAGAGGGCAGGTTAAGCGGACGGATCGCAGCCTCGAGGTTAAGCTCTCGAGCGCTTTTGGATTCTCTGCAAGCATCACAGCCCTGTCTTCGTACTCCTGCATGCTGGATTAGATTCGCCACGAGTTAGATTCCAAAACACGGAAAGCGAAAAGATCTTGCTCACTTTTTCACCACCATCTCGTCCCCGAAGCCGGCAGCATAGCACAGTGACATCGCGACACGCGTGGCCATTTTCTCCAAGGGCAGCGTTATCATCGGAAGTCCGGCCCACAGCACATCGGTGCCGGTTGTGTGTGCGTTGCAGAGCGGCCTGGATGAAGGACAGAAGGAAACGTTTTAGTCGAGAGGATTTCAAGCGGACAGGACTTACGTATCCAGGAAGAGATCGGCCAAAGCACTCCGTCGAATGTGCTCGTTTTTTGCTGCTACATCAGTGAAGATAATTTGACCAGGTCCCACCCCTTGCGCAACAGCAACTACCGAAAAGTGGGCAACCGTTAGAAGAAATATCGACAACAACCATGAGAAGTACTCACATGCTTTCAGCCGGTCTTCACCAGCTGCGGGAAAGCGTAAAAGCCAGAGCGCACTGTTTGGGACTCTTTTCAATATGTTACACCTGATCAAGACAAACGTCAGGCCCGGACATTCAAAGACAAAACTCTTACCATGTTGTAAAAATTTCCGGGTCCATCTTGTACAGCTGGTTGAAACATGCAAATATAAACTTATCTTCTGGAAGACCGTAGTCCGATCGCTTGGGCAAATTCGTACTATCCAATACGTCCCGATTTTTCTGAAAGATTGTTGATTAGTTTTCAGGCATTCAGATCTCGCCGAACCGAACCTGCTTATAATCGTTGACAAAGTAGCAGTGTGGAAGATGCACAAGCTTTTCAGAATAAATATGCGCGAATTCATTCGGACACACAAGCTACATATAAATGATCCCAACAATCAGAGAAACTTGAGACGATCCAGGAAACGCACCTCGTCAACGACCAAATAATCAATATACTGCGCACCCGTTGTCCCGGGAAATCCCATGTACGAAACTTGAATGGGGGCCGGTTTCAAAGCAAATATCTCATTTTTAGCTCCCTGAGAAACACACATAAATTTTTATAGCAAGATATTAACAATTATCACCGACCTTCGTGTAGCCGTTCAGATTAACTAGAACTTGTATTTGATCATCAGCGATCGTTCTTGCGATCATGTCTGACGACATCGCCGACATATCTTTAAAATGCTCAGCTTCGTTCATGATTCTCTGTCGCCATTCACTGCCGTCACTTTGACTCAAAGCATAACAAAACACCTGCAAGTGAGAGTTAGATAACAGAAAAAAGGAAGCTTCCAAATGTACCTCTACATTCTTTCTATTGTGCATTTTAAAAACGGAACCCATCAAATGAGAAAGCGGATGATTACCAAAATCGCTGCTCACGTAACTGTAATAAGGAAACAGCATTAGGAACGTCAACATCTTTCAGTACAATGACATACCCCAAACGCAATCTACCGCTACCGCCTTCGTCTTTAACACGTACGGCAGGTGGATGGACAAATGGCTGGAGCGAAAATCGTGAAGCTACCAAAGAACAATGCTCGGCATATTTCCGACTGTAAGGTACGGGTAAGAACAAAGAAACCAATATAAAACGTGAGAACCTTATTTCCAACGCCAACAAAGGATCTAATGGATACGCGATGGCGTGAAACGGTTGCACACTAGGAAGAACTTCCATCTGAAATAACTATATCGGTCAACCGACAAAGAAGAAGAAAAGACAAAAGACCTTAATTTGTTTCTTGATGATCTCTTGCACTTCTTCGAACTTTTTATCTCTTCCATCCCAGTCACACACACACTGCAGAGTAACACAAATATTACATATCCTCCGTAGATATTTGCTTTAAAATGACAAACCTGCAAAGTGTGCAACAAGTTGCAGGTGGCTTCCGGAAAATCGATCCTAAGTTGCAATGCTTGCTTATAGCTCTTGATAGCAGATTCCACATGTCCACTGCAGAAACACACAAAATTAGTATCACTCTATGCGTATGCACACAAAACCTGTCTTTGTAAGCAGATGCAAGGTTTGCATGGCCTTCAGCCATGTTCGGCCTTATTGCTACTGCTCTCAAATAATCCTGAATAGCTTCAGTAACACGTCCAGCTTCTTTCAGGGTGTTTCCTCTATTAACAAGGCCGTCAGCCGCTGTAGGGTCTATCCGTAGAACTTCATTGTAACATGCTATCGCCTCAGCATAATGACCCTGTAAAGAACTTGGCACTCAAGAAAACTTCAAAACATTAAGAGGAAACTTTTACCTGCTGCTTGTAAATAGTCGCAAGGTTACTGTACGGGGCTGACAAACCCGTTGTAACGTTCAAAGTGGCCTTGTAAAAATTCGCCGCCATGGAAATCATGTTCCTAGAAAGGCTTCAACTTAGCGGATGAGAGGAACAAAGGTTTGAAAATTACCATTCCATGTAAATGTTTCCAAGGTTTGTGAGCGCCTGAGGATGGTTAGCTTGAAGTGTCAGACAGTGCTGCCAATCCAGATGTAAGTTACCTTTTATAATGGACAATTGAGTGCTCACCTGATAACAAGCAATCGCTTCGTCCACCCTTCCAGCGTCTTTGAGAGCATTTCCCTGGAGAAAAACAACTCCACTTAGAAAAAAATAAATGAGAAGATATCCTACCAAATTGTTATAAGCCTCTATAAAAGATGAATCCAACATGATGGCTTTGTGGTAGTGCAAAATCGCCTGGTCCAATTGTCCTTGTTCATAGTACACGCTTGCCAGATTTCCTGCACACATTCATGCCGGGTCCAGCAAGCTCCCCTAAGACCTACATGCACCTTCCCGTTCTTCCTATAACTAATGTTACCAAATGCTCCACACATAGCTGCGATGCGGCCAAACCTTCTTGAACTGCCTGAAGAAACACACACCCAGGGAGCAGGCATACAATGGCCACAGGCAGTAGGGGTTCACAAACAAGCTGATCCCTGACAAGCAGCTTAACTTCACAACTAACACCACTCTTGCGACACAATGTCTTCAAGGAAGCCCTTTGAATGCTTCCAGGATGGCCTCCAGCCCGCGCATCTTCATGATCAACACACATGGAAAAAACAAAAAACAAGGAAACGCAGCCAGTTAGACCACTATTGCCAGGGATCACAGTCTGACTCCACACTCAAGCTCGACCAGGACGCATTCAGAAAGCTTGGAAAGTAGCGCGTACCGTACGCAATTGCATAGTCTGGCCGGAGTTGAATGGCTCGCAAGTAGCAGACTATGGACTCCTGAGCTTTACCAAGATTCTAAAAAACCACAATCTTTAGATCGCTTACTAGGAACATGCCACTCAACTTACTTTCAAGGCATTCCCAAGATTCAAATGAGCGTCCGCAAAGTTTGGCTTTAATCGAATAGCCTCCTGCATGGATAAAAATTCAGAAAACATAAACTTTGCGTTTTCCAACCTGATAATAAGCAAGAGCTCTTTCGTAGTCCCCTGCTTCCATCAACAGGCCAGCAAGATTTGACCACGCAATAGCAAAAGTCGGCTGTATTCGGATGGCTTCAGCATAACAATAATACGCCTGCAAGAAAATGTTTAACGTCGAGAAAGGAGTTTCAACCTTCACAAATTTACATGCGGAGCCAAGCCCTGAGCTTTGAGGAGATTACCAAGGTTGCTGTGGGCATCAACCTGCAGAATGGGAAAAGGAATATCACCCCTTGACAAGACTAGCGATTTGCAACGTACAAGACGGGGATTCAATGTCAGGGCGTGTCGACAACATGCTGCAGCTTCCTGAAGCCTCCCTTTCCGCATGTAAGCACTGGCCAGATTCGACCATGCATCGCAAAACCCCGGCCTCAGCTGCATAAAACATTAAATAAACGATTAATTTACAACGATGATACAAGATACCTCTATAGCAACAAGGTAATACTGAATAGCAAGGTCCACATTCCCTTTTTCCTGCAAAAAGATCTGTCAAGTTCGTACTTGAATCTTCAATATCTACCTTAAATGCATTGGCCATATTTCCGTAACACTCTGCGAACTGTGGATCTATCCTCAAAGCCTCTTCGTTCTTAGCTATACACATATCAAAATCGTGAAGCTGTAGAAACAAACGTAGCGAGTTAGACAAGACTTGTTTGAAAAAGAATTCAGTATCGAGCACCTGGTAATAGATCGCTCCAAGTAGCAGCAAGACATCAGTACGTTTCGAGCTCCTTTCGTGTACTACATTGCAATGTTTTAATGCCTGCTTGTAGTTCCCAGCCTTGTACTCTTGGTGCGCCAGTGCCAACAGCGTATCCCCGTCTACAGTCGAGAATTTAGAAACCTAAACAAATCCCTCGCGAGGGAAAAAATAGGAAAAAAAAGGCTCACCTTGCAATCCTTCCAAACAAACGGATCCCAAAACCTCGGCAGCTGATTGAGCAGCGTGACGGGGCAGCAGCTGATGATCCGGGAAATCGCTCCTCACGGGATCCCTCGCGAAAGGCTGCTGCTGCCGTATGACGCTTTGCTGAGAGAGCATCATCGTGACCCTCTGCCCTGGCATTCTACCTGATCATAGAATGCCTGAATCGATCGATCGCGGCGCCAAGCTCCTCAAATCCTCCCCTCTCGCGCAACCTCCTCAGCCCTGCCCGGCGCCGTGCGCCATAGCTGCGGCGCCTCGCGCATTCCTCCGAAATATTTTTTTCACCCTAGAAAGATAGTGTCCCTTTTTTCTAATTTTCCCATGATGAAAATAATCCACCTCGGGTAAAAGCGCGGTGAAAAATGTGAGTGACGCATCCGCATGCTCACAGCATGCGGCCACGCATGATATGTCCGTCAAGCCATTAAGCGGTAACCAATGGCAGGCTGCCACGAAGTACGGCCGGCCGTAAGAATTACTGTAAAAAGGACTTTTGAGCTTTTAGTTTTTACCCCACGCAAAGAAGTCGTCAATTTCATGACCGACCGACCTACCCCCGCGAACGTCTTGCTCCCGTCAAGTGAAAGGCAATAAAATCGATTAGCCACTAATCAATGTTATCTTTGGAAATTTTCTTTCGATTGGACTTTTCTTATCATAGATCAACAATGTGATGGATTCGATTTGTGCAACAATTCTTCGTGTTTGGTGGTGAAGCCAATTAAAAGAATAAATGGTGATACCCCAAAATCTGAAAATCAATACAAAATGTTTGCTGAATCAAGGGGCACTAGCATCTCCCAAATGTCTTGTGGGAGGTCAGTTTGACTTGTATAAAGAGCTAACAGGTGGAACTTTAACGTGTCAAAGGCTTGTTTGGTGTTCTAGTTTGTGATGCCATTGTCTGGGTCAGTGCACAAGAGGAAAGTTGCTCCACATTGGGCAATTCAAGACTATCAAAGTAGCATAATGGAGAATTTCACATAAGTGGATCTAAACATTCTTCCATTCACATAGGACTGGAATCTATGCGTGGGCTGTACCACAAATCTTCGTGCTTCTTGTCTTCTTTCTGTCCTCTCCAGTATAGAAACACAGAAATTGTGATTCGTATTAGGGTAGATTGACTTGAATAGTAGATAAACAGTAGGCGTGTAAACTCATAAATCTGATCGAATATTGCAAGGATGTTGACTCTTCAACTTCTTTTTCTCTTTCATGTTCAAGTGTTTAGGCATATTTTAAGAATGTTTTCTGTTATGGTTGAGAATTAAATCTTCTCAAGTAATCAATGGCTAAGATTTCCTAGTGTTTATAAACATAAAATTACAAAATAATCTTAAGAAAACTTTTTATTAGAGGAAATGGTCTCTCTTGCTATAAGTTCTTCTTGGTGGTCTGCCTTTCACCAGTACACATATTAGACCACTTGTACGCTAACCAGTATTTCCACTCCTATCACAAATGCTCACTGATTTGTTCGCAATATGGAGACTCTGCTGCTCGATTCACTTGCAACATGCAAGATATATAGAAACAAATTCGTGAGGCTCGTCCAGGTCCATCCACAAACCCTAGTCACACAGAGAGACGCCCTCCTCTTCCATCAATCGCATGCCCTGGCACAGCGTCATTCCTTGATGCTGAGCTATGTGGATAATAGGAGATCGCTCTAGAAATTCATAGTTTCGTCCCTACAATTAGGTGTGTGGCAATGTAATTGATCCAGAGTTGACGATGAGGAGTGAGAATGACTTTATTGTGACAAGTTTGATTGACATGTTGAAGAGGTTTGGATGTCCATAGTGATCAGATTAGTTTTTTTGTCTCTTTTTTTTTTTTGCAAGACTAATTGGTTTGTTTAGATCACAAGCAACCCATCTATAAGCTTTATTTTTATTGTCTTCTTCTTTTGCTTAGAAGACTAATTAGTTTGTTTAGATCATATGCAACGATCCAAACATCCTGCTCATGGAGCTCATGGAACACTCAGGTAGTGGCTTTTTTTTTTCGTTTTTGATCTCTCCTCTCTTTTACCAAGTTTCTCAGTTTGCATATGGATCAGGAGGCTCTAAGTGGTCGAGGCCAAGTGCTTAATTGGCTAATCTAATGATCCAATTCATTTCCTCATTCTGGTCATGGTGAATATGGTGAACACTAAGAGCATGCATCATAAGTTTCCCAACTTGAGTTTGGGGCTCAACTTTGAGCTTAGGGTGCCCCAGATTGTACTCCAGGATCGAGCTCAATTAATCAATGCAATATTTTTATAAAGAATTAACAAAATTTTCATCATGCAATTCTAAATTGAATTCTTTGAATCTTGAATTCTACAATAAATTTTTATGAATTCCATTTTGATAATCCACGATTTTTAATTAAATTTCTAATGGAATGTTTTTAATAAAGGTCCATATGGTTTAAAACATGAGTTGCTATTATGAATTTAGAGAAAAGAAACATTTGATAATGCTTGCTATAAAGCTTTTTATACTAAATGAGAAAAAAAGAGAAGATGCACTCCCAATGTTTGAACTTTTGATGCTAGACTAAATAATAAATTTAGTAAGGGCAATAAAATAAAAAAGTTATTTTATAAATTAAGGGGGTACAAAAATCACAAGTTTTTTTTTAAGTAGGTTCAATATAGATATCTACATTGAACACTACATACCAAAACAACTATCATTTCAAAAGTGAACCTAACACAAGATATTGGCATATTCTAAATTCTTATTTAGCTAATCCTTAGCACTTCATTGCAAAAAAGAGATCCAATGCAACCTCACCATGGCCACACTGAACATAAAGATTTGAAAATTCAGTTTTACAATCGTGTGGGAAATATATAACTAGATTATATAGTTATTTGTATTACTTTAAAATCCTAACTCTATATAATCCAATTTAATTGCTATTAAAATCTCACTACACTAATATTAATATACTGTAATATAACTCTTTCTTGAAGGATGAGAGATAGTTAGAATTTTATAATCAACATTAGAAGAATATCAAGAGGAGGCATTGGTGCATCCATAGATAGTATAATTTATTTATGATTTTTTTGTAAAGTGCTTTAAATGTTTATATATATATATATATATATATATATATATATATATATATATATATATATATATAAAATTTTTAAGGATTGGTTTACTAAATGTCGTGGTAAATGTTATAAAAATCCAGCTTGCTATAATACTTGATATAATCCCTTCCATTGGGTAAGGAACTTTTTAAACAAACTATATACTGTAAAATTGGGATGAAAAAATAACACTAAATTATTTATTTTATACTTTGTAGGTGAGAGTTATAATGATACTATTGTTCCACTTATAATTTAAGTGTTTAATAAATTGCACTTGGACAATTCCAAGAATGCTTCTTTAATATTAATCCCAAAACCTAGCATTATCAACTTATGGCAATTGTAAAGATAAGTTAACTCCATTAATAATAAAAATTATAACCATATAAGAGTTTATATAGTGAAACATCAACAAAACATACACCACTATTACATTTATAAGCTAAAAGGATGACAAATAACCATCCCAATTTAAATATAAAATTTTATATATTTTATAATCATCCCTTTGAAGGTCATAATGAATTGTTCCATTAAACCATCATTTTGTGAATGATTAACACATAAAAATGTGGTGTATCCCTAATTGAGATGTCAAGATATGCAATGCTTCAACTATACACATAGGATCATTGTTTGATCCACTCTAGACAAAAAATATTAAAACATTATTAACACAAATAAAGGGGAAATTATAATTGATTCTAACTATCAAACTTTAAAACAACTATAAATTTATTAGGATCAACATGTATGTCTTTGCAAGAAATGCAATACCCAAGATAAATCTTGGGATCTAAACAAACAATTAGACTACTTTAGTTTCAAATTAATTTTACACAATTGATCTAACAACTTTTGAATATTACAAACATATATATTCTTATTATGTCCCTTTTGAGTGAATCAAAATATCAACAATGAGGTTAGTAGTCATTTTTAATATATTATAGAGAAACTTTCCCATTATCCATTTGAAAGTTGCAAAACCATTATTTAAAGCAAAAAATCATGTAACAAACTCATATAAAAACATGGTTAAAATTTTGACTTAGCATTATCTGTAACAATTGAAACTCAAGCTCATGATCACATAACTAAATTTATTTCATCTTACACATATGCATATAGTTGTTGCTATGGAGAATGAAAACTAACTTTATTATATGATGCAAATGTAGATAATAATATATAGTAACAGATTGAGCGATGGAAGATAAATTTAAATCCATATTAACAAATTATTATAAAAAAATTAGAAAGTAAACTCTAATTAAATAGGTATTGAATGAACCTTTTGACAGAAGAGAGCAATAGAAAAGAAATGGAAAATTTTACAAGAACAAAAAAATTTAAACAATGCAAAAGTTAAATTTAAAAAAAAAAATCCAATTATTTCTAAAATTGCCCTTCATCTCCTATGTATAATATGCATATTGATATTAATCCAAAACTCTAGATTATATAGAAGAAGAAGTGGATCAGAATCCTATTACGCTAATAATAATATATAATATGTTAATTATACACTTATTAGAGTAATAATAATATAGTATGTTGTCACAATAAAGTCAACTTTCTTAAATTTCTGACCACCATTATGGTTGAACTTCTGGATAATGTTAAACCTTTGGCGCCATGGAGGAATTTGATACATCGCTGTCTAGGGCTACGTCGTTTCTTTTCCATGGCGTCACTGGATTGGCTGCGGCAAGGTGCTGCGGCAGCTCGAGCTGGAGCTAGAGACTCTCCTCGTCGGGAAGATTTTGCCATCAAGGTCGGTCTAGGGTTTCAATCCAGAGCCGGGGCAGCATCAGGCAAGAATGTGTGCTGCCTGGCATCGCTGCGCCGCCACGGCACTAGCACTAGCACTAGTGGAGTCGGGCTGGGATTGGCTACTAGCAGCAGGCAAGTACGATTAGCAAGGCTGACAGCGAAGTTTAGATTCGATGATTCCGGCAATGGAGGGAAAAGAAATGGTGGTGGTGGCACCAATGTCGGTGGAATGGTCCTCAATGCTGCAATCACTGGCGCTCTAGCGTATCTCACCGTCACTGGAAAGCTTGGGTGGATTTTTGATGCTGTGATCTCTCTCTGGGTAAGAACTGAGAAGAATCGAATTCCCTTCGATTTCTTCCGCTTTCTCTTTCGTTCTTTTCTAGCCAATTTGACTTTCTTTTTTCTTTTTTTTGCAGCTCTTTTTCATTCTTGCCCCTCTTGTTGCTTTGGTTGCGTACTTCTGGTTTGTGGAGCGGGAGATTATTACGGGTAATGTAAGCCTCTCTTTTTGCACGCTTCAAACTTCTGGATTTTCTTTCTTGCGAGCTAACGCTTTCCCAGTTCCTTTTCCTCGCAGTGTCCCAACTGTGGCAACGAGTTCCAAGTCTTTGAGTAAGTTTTCTTTAAAGTTTCCTGGCACCAGAGAATCACCGTGTCAACAGATTCGCAGTCAAGGACGAGCTCCAGCTCTGCCCATACTGCACACAACCATTCAAAGGTATTAAAATCCTCCGTGCTCCTTTCGATCATGACAATTCCGATTGCGCTTCCAGTCGACAACAAAGTTTTCGTCAGAGACGGGCCGAGTTTTTATAACCCAAGCCAGCGAAACGAGACGCGGACTTCATACGTTGGTGAAGATGGTATCGTTTTCTTTCGCTTTTATTCGGTGCTCTAATCAAAGTCGATGTTCTCCTGGAAGATTCAAGTGGTGCGATAGTGGACGTGGAGGCTGAAGTGCTGGACGACTAAGTGGCAAAAAATCGTACGGGATGTACATGGACGTGCCCTCCGTCCAGGTGTAGTGGATGCAATGAACATGGCCCCAATGTACACCTGGATCACGAACCTGGTCTCAATATCGTCCAGGTTCATTGGAAGAAAAATGATGGGATTCTGGTAAAAAAACGATTTCATGACCCGACTGCGTTTGAACTTGACTCCCTTTGACTCCAACTTTGACAAGTCAATATGAGTCGAATCGGCCGCAAATTGGACACTTGGAAAGTTTCAAAAGCATAATCTGGAAACATCCCTTTTGCGTGTGTGGATGAACACTGTCACCGTTTTGCTACCTGTAAGAGATACCCATAGAAATCGTTATATTACAAACTTGATGCCAGCGATATTTTAGTTTGATCCTTTAACATCCAACATACGTCCATGGAATCGATCCAAAAGCATCGGCCTTCAATAGAGCAGCCCCAGCCACAAAAAACACAAGCCCCTTTGGTCACTTTCCACAACCAGGGAGTACGGACGGCCAAGAACACGTGAACCACGCCACCCGGTCGGTACGGAAGTTCCCGGTGGCTGGGTCCGTACGCGGTACGTAGGTCATTTGTGAAACCCCGGGAGACCTTTTAGTATAAAAAGGAGGCAGGGTATAGGGAGAGCGCAAAAACGTGTGCCCCCTTGGTCGATTGATTCGTCCAATCGATCGGGAGGGAGATTTGCTACTCCTCCTCTCGGCTCCCTGCGCAACGCGATTCGGTTCCAGCGCCTTGAATGTGGGTTTTGGCGGCGATCTCCTCTTCTTTTCTAGGCCTCCCGGCGAGGGATTGATGGCGCTATAGCGAGCGAGGCGCGAGATCTGTCGTGGAGCTCCGCAAATCTGCCCGGTATGGTCGCGATTTCGATTCTATGCATGCCGATTGTCGTGTTCTTGGCCAGGGCCGCGCTCTCTCTAGCTCGCATTGTGCCCTGACTCACGCAAATCTCGTGCGCCGCCCGGGCTTCTTACTCACATCACAGCTCTCCAAATCTTTTGTTCTAAGCGATTGGAGGAGAAAACCCCCGAGTTAAGGGAAAGAGAATGGTACTATGGGTTTTCGGCTATGGATCTCTGGTGTGGAGGGCTGGATTCAATTACGACGAGCGTGTTGTTGGCTACATCAAAGGCTACCAGCGCGTGTTCTATCAAGGTACTCTTGACTGCCTTGAATCGTTGTTGGCGTGATTCTAGAACTTACACGAGTTTTTTTTTCTTTTTTTTTTCCAGGTAACACTGATCATAGAGGAACTCCTGAGAATCCCGGGAGGTGTGTGACCCTTCTCCCCAAGGAAGAATCCATTTGTGTAAGAAACTCTAAAATCCTTGCTTTTGCAACTGGCAAGCACTGATGAATTTTCTTAACAGTGGGGGGCTGCGTACCGAGTTTCTGGCAAAGATTCCGAGGAGCTTGTTTTGTCGGTAGAAAACTTTTTCCCAGTCCCATTTGTTCCGCAAAGCGTTGACATTACAAGTGCGTAACAGTTTGCTGCTCTTTCGTGTTCAGTATTTGGAGCTCCGGGAGAAAGAGTATGACGTAAGAGCCTACATTGACTTTTACACAGTAAGAACCAATGAATCACACACAAAAGAAAAAATCTTTGATCGTTCCTATAGAGCATCTCGCTGATCGGATGTTTTCGTGCTCCGTGCCGTGCAGGTGGACTCGCCAGCGCAGCCAGCCCTCCGTGGAGTTTTAGTGTGAGAATCTAGCTTCTGGTGGATTCTTCGAAGAGTACTGATTTTTCTCTTGGACTTTCATCTTCCAGATACATTGGCTCGCAGAACAAGCAAAACAATAAATACTATCTTGGTCCAGCACCGATTGAGGACATGGCCAGGTGCTTTTCGTGTTTTTCGTTCTCTCCTTTTCCCAGATAATAGTTTTCTGACTATGAAAACGTCTTGCAGCCAAATTGCTAGAGCTGTCGGACCCTCCGGTCCAAACTACGAGTACCTGTTTCGCTTAGAGGAAGCGCTCTGCGAGATTGGTAATGAAACAAGAAAAGAAAAATCTCTTTTTTCTCTACCGGAAAATGACAATGCGTTCCAAAATCCAGGATGTGCCGAGGACGAACTGATTGAGCTCGCAGACGAAGTTCGCAAGCTACTCGGTGGTGCCAATGGAACCAATGGAGCCAATGGAGTAAAGAAGCTCAATGGAATGTGCACACACCACGTCCAGAAGATTGGCAAGCAGGTGAACGGAGCTCTCGCGCACTAACAAAACAGAAGTTACGTTTTTTTGGACGAACCATACAACTATTCTTGCACACGGGGGCCAATGCTAATGGATTTGACCCCATGGATCACAGCAAAACGTTATCGACGAGGCCATTGATCAATGCCTGTTATGTACCACTTATCAAACACTGAAAAACCTTTTTGTGTAGACCCTTCCATTTTGATTCTTGGAGCTCAGCTCGCTTCTGCTTGTCTCTGCAAGGGGAAGGAATTTTACCAGGCAGTCACGGGAATATTTGCAGCATCGCCAGAGTACCATTGGCGAATTTTGCATTTGATTGTTGGTTTCTGGAATGGTGGCAGAGCTTGGGTGGAGACGCAGCGAACTACAACGATCGAGGAAAAAGAAAGATAGAAAGATAAATAGAAGAAGAAGAAGGAAGAAGGAGAAGCACCAAACTAAAGTTTTGTAAAGTAGCTTTCGTTTGAGCGATTTTCTAGAGCTCCATCGTCCTTGGCGTGAGTAATTTTTCATTCAATCTCCAAAGAGAGGCGTTATACCACATGATTTCCATTGCTACGTTGTTGGTTTAAATTGCGATGAGAACCAGCGATGAGAAAACCAAAGAGAAAGAAGCTCTTCTTTCTTCCCATTGGAGACTGGATTTTCTCCAATGGAAGATTTTACTTCCTCTTCTTCTTCTTCTTCTTCTTCTTCTTCTTCTCCTTCGCGATTTCTTGGATTCTTCGTTTTGATCTTTGCAGCCATATGGACCCAAATCGATGCTGCCAACTTCGACTACCGGGACGCGCTGTCCAAATCCCTGCTTTTCTACGAGGCCCAGCGCTCCGGCGAGCTTCCTTCGCAGCAGCGAGTCAAATGGAGGGGGAATTCCGCGCTTGATGACGGCAGCGATGGAAATGTAGGCGAATCTTTGCGAGATTTTGTGGACTGGGAGCTACTTGCCTTTCTCTCCAGGTGAATTTGGCTGGTGGCTACTATGATGCTGGCGACAACGTGAAATTCGGCTTCCCTATGGCGTTTACAATCACAATGCTCTGCTGGGGAGCGATAGAGTATGGACGATTGATCGATGCCGCGGGAGAAATGGGCAATCTCCGCGACGCAATTCGATGGGGAACGGATTATTTCTTGCGCGCCAACACTGGATCGTCAGAGCTCTGGGTCCAGGTATGAAGAATTCGTAAGGAAATCAACGAAAGAGCAGAGTGCTCTGTTCTTCCCCTCTTTTCTTCTGACGAAATCGTGTGAAATTCGCGATGATCTTCAAGGTGGGTGATCCTTACAAGGATCACAACTGCTGGCAGCGTCCCGAGGACATGGAATCGCCCAGGAAATCTTACCTTATCAATCAAACATCGCCAGGAACAGAGGTGGCGGCAGAGACATCGGCAGCTCTAGCCTCGGCATCGATCGTCTTCCAAAGTTCTGATCCGAGCTACTCCACGAAGCTGCTCCAATCGGCAATCCGTGTACTGTTCTTCATCAAATTAGCTTCTCCCTTCCCATTTCTTCGCTTCTTCTCTTCTCCTTCTCGTGTGTTTGCTCTGTAGAGATTAAGCCTTGTCAATGGCAGCTCTTCCAATTTGCGGACCGGTTTCGAGGAACGTTTAGTGGAGGATGTCCATTCTACTGCTCAGTCTCTGGATACCAAGTAAGAAACACGATTCCTTCGTTTCTCTTGATCTTTCTATGCCTTAAAGTTTGATCATTGCGAACTCGATCAAGTAGGACGAGCTTCTTTGGGCTGCTTCATGGCTGTACAAATCTACGGGCTCGTCTATGTACCTCTCTTACGTGATCGACCATGCAGACAAAAGTGGAATCGTGAGCGAATTCAGCTGGGAAAACAAACATGCTGGTGTCCAAGTCTTTCTTTCCACGGTGAGTAGTCAAGAACTCCACATCCAGACCCTAAAATTCAAAGAAATCCTTCTCTAATCTCTCGAGAATGCCAGCTTTACCTGAAAGGTGGTGGATTTGATGCACTGAAGCGATACAAAGACGAGGCCGATTTCTTCTTTTGTGCGACGCTTCCAAACACGTCTGAAACCCAAGTTGATAGAACCCCAGGTTGGCGGACTTTGGAAAAAGTGTGCAAGACTGTTAAAGAGAAGTTCATGTGTTATAGGTGGCTTCATATACGTGAGAAGTGGAGCCAACACACAATATTCCATTGGCGCCTCGTTCCTCGCTGCCGTTTATGCAGATTCCCTCGCGAAAGCCCAAGTCTCCAACACGGTTTCATGCGGGAGAACGCTCCTCCACCCAAGAGATCTTTTCAACTTCGCAAAGGGTCAAGCCGATTACATCCTAGGAGACAACCCACGCAGGATCTCCTACATGGTTGGCTTCGGCAGCTCGTTTCCACAGCAGCCACACCACCGCGGAGCTTCAATCGAATCAGTGGCCAAGCTCCATGCCCGCGTCTCGTGCGGCGAGGGATTCTACACCTGGTACAGCAGCAAATCCCCAAATCCAAACGAGCTCACGGGTGCGATCGTTGGAGGCCCCGATAGAGACGATAGCTTCGTGGATGTTAGGTCTAACTCGGCTCAGCTCGAGCCCACAACTTACGTGAACGCTCCCTTCGTTGGGCTGCTCGCAAGACTAACGGCCCAAATTTAAACTCCCAATATCGACGTCTCAGATGAAAAACCTAGATCTTATCGAGTAATCTTAAAGGTAGTAAAGATGGTTTTGCGAAAGATCTTGGCTAAACCTCTAAAACCCTATACCCTTGATGACCTAATCGCATTAGGTCTCGAGCGCGCCGGGAGAGATGGGGAAATACAGCGCCTTGTATCAGTCCGCGGGCGCCACAGCAGGGATGTTCTTCCTCTTCCGCCGCGCGCCCACGGCGATGGCGGAGAAGAGCCAGGATGAGAGCGTGGTGCAGCAGCGCGAGGAGTATTCCAAGCCCCGGAATGATAATCCCAGGACCACTGCTGCTGGCTTCGATCCGGAGGCGCTGGAGCGAGGGGCCAAGGCGCTCCGGGAGATCAATAGCTCCCCGCATTCGAAAAAGGTTTGGCATTTTTTCCCCTCTCCTCTCGACCTTCATCGATCGGATTTTTTTCCCTTATAGGTGTTTGAGCTAATGAGAAAACAAGAAGATAGTCGGCAAGCGGAAGAAGCGACTAGGAGAGCCGAATTTCAAGCAGTTCAAGCCCAGCACGAGACTGTAAGTTCTTTCTTCAAGCTGAAGTTTTTGGAAGCAAACGTTTTTCCGGTGCTGATGCGGTGATTTCTTGCAGGATAGACAACGGGTGATGTACGAGGAACAAAAGAAGCTTGTCCAACAGCAAGCGCAGACTAAAGCTCAAATCTCGCGCTACGAGGACGAGCTCGCGAGGAAAAGAATGCAGGTGTGATGTGTCCGTTCGGTTTTTGACTTCCACGATTCTTATGGGATTTTGTCGCAGGCAGAACACGAAGCCCAACGAGCGAGGAACTCGGAGATGGTGAAGATGCAGGAAGAGTCTGCCGTTCGCCAGGAGCAAGCGAGGCGATTGACGGAGGAGCACATACAAGCGCAGCGTCGCCAGACCGAGAAGGAGAAAGCCGAGATTGAAAGAGAAACCATTCGTGTGAGAGCTTTGGCGGAGGCCGAGGGACGTGCTCACGAAGCCCGGCTGGCGGAGGACGTCAACAAGAGGCTTTTGGTCGAGCGAGCCAACTCCGAGAAGGAGAAGTGGCTGGCTTCGATCAACACCGTCTTCACTCATATCGGAGGTGAGAGTTTCTTTCTAGCCAGGCATTTTACGGTCATATCTTACGTGCTCTCGTTTTGTAGGTGGTATCAAAACGCTTTTGACGGACCAGGATAAGCTTGTAGTTGCTGTTGGTGGAGTAGTAGCAGTGGCCGGCGGTGTCTATACAACTAGGTATGCAAAAGCTTTTCTCCTTCTTAGCAGAGACTAGATTCAGTTTTTTTTATTTCTTATAACAGGGAGGGAGCTCGTGTTCTTTGGGGTTACGTAGATCGAATTCTCGGCCAACCGTCGCTTGTTCGCGAGTCTTCACGAGGAAAGTATCCATGGTCGGGACTATTTTCTCGTAAGACTGTAATGCCATGGGCCAAGACTCCAGCCGACCCGAAAAGCAGCAATGGCTTTGGAGAAGTTATTCTCCCTCCGACGTTACACCAGCGGATTAGGCAGCTCGCGTTCGCCACTGCTAATACAAAGGAGCACCAGGCTCCGTTCCGGAATATCATCTTTTACGGCCCTCCTGGAACGGGGAAAACCATGGCTGCTAAGCAACTAGCGAGGCACTCGGTACGTTGTTTAATCGTCTGGTGGTTTTTAAGCTGAGGTTTGTTTTGGATCCAGGGTCTCGACTATGCTGTCATGACCGGAGGAGACGTCGCTCCACTTGGTCCTCAAGCCGTCACAAAGATCCACGAGCTGTTTGGATGGGCATCGAAGACAAGGAGAGGATTGCTGCTGTTTATAGACGAAGCCGATGCTTTCCTATGCGAGTACGTGATCTCCTTACCTTTAAGCTTTTCTGTTTTCTCTTGGCTGATGATTGTGAGCTTCATGCAGGCGCAACAAAACCCGGATGAGTGAAGCCCAGCGCAGTGCTCTCAACGCGATTCTATCACTCACTGGTGACCAATCCAGGGACATCGTGCTGGTGCTCGCTACAAACCGTCCGGGAGACCTTGACGCGGCGGTGCTGGACAGGATCGACGAGATACTCGAGTTTCCACTTCCAGGACTGGAGGAGCGAGAGAAGCTCATACGCCTCTACCTGGACAAGTACATCGTCCAAGCGGGGGAGGGCGCCAAAGGCTGGAAGCAGTACGTGGCACAGCAGCACAAGATCGAGATGAAGGACGTGACCGACGACGTGATTCGAGAGGCCGCGGAGATGACGGAAGGATTCTCGGGGCGAGAGATTGCCAAGCTGCTAGCCAGCGTCCAGGGAGCGGTCTATGGAAGCAAGGACAGCGTTCTCACCGCGGAGGAGTTCCGGAACGTCGTAGCGTGCAAGGTTTTGGAGCACCAGAAGAGAAAAGAGCTCGCAGACTCGGGTGGAGACTAACAACAGCATCAACACCAACAGGTTCTCTCGTAGCTTTTCCGGAGTGTTCGTTTTTTTCTCTCGTTTTACAGCAGCAGCAATTTTGTGAGCAGCAGCAGGGCACAGTTTTCTAGCTTTTTCGATCTAAGTTCTCAGGAAAGATTTCTAT